GGCCCACCGCAGCACCCAGGCCGACGATTTTCCGCCCAACCCCGCTCCTTGCGCCGCCAGGATGGTCGTTCTTGGCTGGCCCTCGGAAGTGGAGATTGACGATATATATATATATATATATATATATATATATGTGTGTATGTATGTATATATATGTAAGTATATACAAGTACGTCTATATAAATGTATAAATATGCACACACATACAGACAGACATACATATGTACATATACACATATATATATATATACAAATATACACGTGCATTCCGCGCGCGCGTGTGCGCGCGTGTTATGTAGAGATAGGTTGGCCAACGTGTAGCGTGCTCCTAGCAGCATATGTTGTGCAATCTACGTGGGGTAATGCATATATATATATATATATATAGATGCGGCGCAATCGTTGTGGCACGGTTCGTTTTGTTCGCAGTGAGTTGTCAATTCCGCTGCTCGCGAAACGCGCCCACGCGCAATTTGGCAGGCAAAACTCATACGGCGGCGATTGCGATGAATGCTTGGCGCAGGCTGGCGCGTCACTGCGGCCGCGCTAGCACGCGCAGGCTCGCGCAAAGAGCGGCCAGCTACCTTGGTGCGACCGACGCGTCTCGGTGGCGTTGACCGCTGATTGCCCAGCGCGTCTCGCAGGCCACGCTGGCGCGCGGGCACGGGGGGCGGTGACTGGGGCGGGCGCGGTATCATGGCGACGCCGACAACGGCGGACACGATGATAATTGCATCGACGTTGGCGGCAACGATGGCGATGGCGCCGACACGGCCAATGGCGGCGCCGATGCTGATCACGCCGATGACGATGATGGTGTCCTCGCGTCGGCGACGAAGGCGCTGGAAGGATTTCGACATGCGCGCGTGGGCGACGGGCGCAGGTGAACCGCACGGTGCGATTTGACAGAAGTCGCGCCACCCCCCTCCCCCCCCCCCCCAGCACACGCGCAAGGGTGTTCGAATGATTTCGACATGCGCGCGCGAGAGGCCGTTTTGGTCGCACGTGGTGAACGTCGTGCAAAACTTGTGTGTTTTCTGAAGAATTCGCCAGAGCGCGCGCAGACCATGATTTGAAAACCCATGCGGCAAAACCGTGCGCGGTGTGTTGACACGGGTGTTCAGGACATTCGGTTTTGAAACTCCTTGGGAATCTGAGTTCTTGCACGGCATCAGCACGCGCGCGCGCGACTACGCGCGCGCGCACTTCATCCTGTCTGGAATGTTGCCAATATTCTTCAAAACTGATGAGTGCATATAGACGGATGCGTACGCATGATGCATTGTTGGTGCGATACATTGCGCACCATATGCGCGGTGCGATATGTGCGGGGCGACCTATGTTGTGCAGCACACGTTGCGCAATACAGGATGCGTGGCTTACGTTGCGCAATAGAGGCAATGCACTGTACGTCGTTCAATATGGATTGTGCGATCTACCTGGTGCAATAGATGTGGTGCAACCTATGTAATACAATTTACGAGGCGCAATCTACGCGGCGCGCCCAACGTAGCGCGAATCACCATGCCGAACAAGGCGCCAACCCCATTCCCCCCGCAATCGTCCCGCGCACCCACCCGCAACTTAGTTTGCAAAACCCATGCAGTAACAATTGCGATGACTGTTCGGCGCTGGCTGGCGCGCTGGCTCGCGCAGAGCGGCCAGCTGCACTGGCGCGACCGACGCGGCCGCGGCGGCGCTGGCCGCTGGGTATTTCCCAGCGCGTCTCGCAGGCGGCGCTGACGCGCGGGCACTTCAGCGCGAGTCGGTGACTGAGGCGGGCGTCGTCTCATGGCGACGTCGAAAAGCGGTAGACGCGATGAGGGGTGCACCGATGGTGACGCCGACGACAAGTCCGAGGACGGTGCCGATGCTGACCACGCCGACGACGATGATGGCGCCTTCGCGTCAGCGATGAAGTTTCGGAAGGATTTCGACATGCGCTCGCGGCCGACGCGCGCGAGCGGCCCTCATGGTGCCATGCGACACGGATCGCGCGCCCCCCCACCCACCCACCCACCCACCCAGCACGCGCGCAAGGGCGTTCGAATGATTTCGACATGCGGGGGCTCTTTTTGTCGCAGTTGGCGAAACCACATGTTTTTCTTGAAGTCGCAAAAGCGCACGCACAGACCCTTTTTGAAAACTCACGTTGCGAAGCCATGTGCTGTCATATGTGTTTGGCGCACTCGATTTTGAAATTCTCGCGAAGCCCAAACATGTGCGATGGATCCCGGCATGCGCGCGCAACGGCTCGCGCGTGCATAGTTCGCCATGATGTATTTGTGTTTGCACGGAATTTCTGAACATGTGGAACTGTTGATAAACAAGCGTGGGCACCTATCGTTTTTTCCAGAGGGTTGTGGGGGGGATCGAGCCCGATTTGGCTGGAACGGTATGAGCTCATTTTTAGAATGAACGATGGGACAGAACCAGATGTAAATTGCACATCCCCAGGGCGTATCGTTATTCCTGGCCTCGGAGGGCGGTGGATCATAATTATTCTTAAGAGGGGTCGCATATGCGATACGCTACATGTGACGCAATCTGTGTTGTGCGATCTTCGTGGTGCAATATATTATATGCGGTGCGACCCACGTTATGCATTCTACGTTGGGCGATATATGCCGTGCATTCTACGCGGTGCAAGTCATGTCTGTCCGAAGTGAACTGTCCAACCAACTGCTCTCGCCATCAGCCCACCCACCAACCCGCAGCATGGCGTGCAATTGCGCTTGCCAGCGCATGCTCGCGCGCGGCGGACAGATAGTTCGGCGCTACCGACGCGGCCGCGGTGGCATTGACCGCCAGGCACTTCCCTGCGAGCAATCCACTGCGAGTCGGCGATTTGGGCGGCGGTCAAGGTACCATGGCAACGTCGACAACGGTAGACGCGATGATGATGGTGGCGATGCATGTGACGATGATGACAACGACGGCGGCAAGGCCAGTGACGGCGCCGATGTTGACCACGCCGACGACGATGACGGCGCCTTCGCGTCGGTCATACAGGTTTTGGAAGGAGTTCGACATGCGCGCGCGGCTGCCGCGCGCGAGTGGCCCGCATTGTGTAATTTGACACGGATCGCGCCCCTCCCCGCCAGCACGCGCGCAAGGGCGTTCGAATGATTGCGTCGTGCGGCGTGAGGGGCCCGTTTGGCCGAATTATATGAAACCGATCGTTATCATAAGAATTCGCAGGACCATTGGCGCAGACATGTTTGAAAATTGATGTTGCAAAACCATATGTTTATATGTTCTCGGGACACACGATTTTGAAAACTTCGCGAAACCATAAATTTTTGAAGGATTTCCGCATGCGCGCGCGACGACGCGCGCGCGTGCACTTCGCCCCGCTGTTTTTTGCAACGAGTCTTTTGCGACAGCACGCGCGCAAGGGCGTTTGAGCGATTCCGACATGCGCGCGCGAGAAGTTTGCTTGGTAGCAAGTTGTGAGGAATGTTGACAAGCCCATGGTTTTCTTAAGAACTCACAGGAGCCCGATCGCAAGCCGTTTTGAACATGTGCGTTGCGAAACCACGTGTCTTTTATTTGTTCGGGACATTCGATTTTGCAAGCATGGCGAAATCTGAGATGTTTGAAGGATTTCGGCTTACGCGCGCGACGACGCATGCACTCCGTCCATTTTTGGGGGGCGAACGATTTTTGAAAACTTACGACTTTGGGAAAACGAGCGCGCGTGCATATAAGTTCTTGCAGCGGATGGGGTGGGTACCGATACCGGCCCGCCTGGGATGGTATGAACTCATCATTATGATCGACGATGGGGCACAAACATATGCAAATTGCAGTACGAAAAGTGGTACCGTTAATTCTGGGGGGGAGATCGTAAGAATTTCTTATAAAAGGAAAATATTTGTGGCGTGTTTTGAAGAATCTGGAGTTGCGAAGTCCATTGCTTACGCAATCATCCAACCCAGCCGCCCACCCACCCGCGACTCGGTTTGCAAAACCCATGCGGCGGCGATTGCGATGAGTGCTTGGCGCTGGCTGGCGCACATCTGCTGCCCTGCCGGCGCGCGCATGCTCGCGCGCACAGGCACAACCGACGCTGCCGCGGTGGCGCTGACCGCTGGGGACTTCCCAGCACGTCTCACGCGCGTCGCTGGCGCGCGGGCACTTCGTTGCGAGTCGGTGATTCGGGCAGGCGCAGTATCATGGTGACGTCGAAAACGGCGGAAACGACCGTGAAACTAGTGATAATAGTGACGATGACGACGATGACGATGGCAAGGCCAGTGACGGCGCCGAGGCTCGTCACGCTGATGTCGATGATGGTTTCCACGTGTCGTTGATGAAGGTTTTGGAAGGATTTCGACATGCGCGCGCGGCCGACGTGGGCGAGTGGCCCGTGTGGTGTTATTTGACAGAGATCGTACCCTCCCCCCCGGCAAGCGCGCAAAGGCGTTCGAAGGATTTTGACACGCGCGCGCGATAGGCCCGCTTGGTCGCAGTCGAGGAAAATCTTGGAAAGCCAATGATTTTGGTAAGAATCCGCAAAAACGTTCGCGCAGATTTTTGCTGTGCAAAAACCATGTGGGGAACCATTGTTTTGCAATATGTTTTCGGAAACCTTGATCTTGAAATCCGCACGACATCATGCGCGCAAGCCGCCGGGGAAGTGGGGGCGAGGCTCACCGTCGCCCACCCCCCCGCCACGTCCAAGGCCAGGCACCAGGGAGCGGCACGCGAAGTGAGGGGTGCTCTCCACAAGGCGCACGTGAGCCACTGCCTCCATCGGGCGGGATGACAACGGGAGAGAGGAAAGAGGTTTCGATGTTCATAGCATAGGCTCGGGAGCCACGGCAGTGCTGCGTTACGCCCACGCGCATCATCACGGGGAAAGGGTTGCCAGCACGCAGCGCCTCCTCCTCCTCGCTCGGAAAGGAGGAGAGCAGTGGGCCTCCCAAGTGCTCTGTCGCTTGGCACAAGTGCAGCGGAAGCAGGCCTTGCCACTGGAAGGAGCTCCGCCGCCACCGATGGTGGACCCCGAGTTGCACCTGCACCTGAACGAGGGACGGACCGAGTGGGGAGGACATGGCCTGCCTAACAGGCGATGCCGACCTCGGAGCCGCTGGCCTCCCAGCGGCAGGGGCACTGATCTGGACGGAGGCCAGGCACCCCCGTCCCGTCTCGCACCCTGTCATTAGGCATGGGGGGAATGCACATCGAAGACCTACGGGGCGGGTCCAGCATGGCCAGGCGCCGCCCACCTGAGGAAGCTTGCAGGGGCGCAGGACGGGACTCGAGCTCGGCACGGAGCCGGAGACCCTCCTCCTCGGCTGCGCGTTACCTCCCACCGCGCGCCGCACACCACTTCCTCTCCGCAGCCACGGCGACTCGGGATGCGCCAGAGCGCAACCTGGAGGCGCGAGCAGGTGTCTGCCAGGATCGGGACGAGGACTTCGTGAGTGGGACCAACGCCGCGTGGCTCAAGGCCTGGAAACTCAACCCACGGGACCCCCGCGGCCACGACGAGTCGCGGCTCCAGGAGGCCCGTGAGGGGGGGCAAGGAGGAGGAGGAGGAGGAGGAAGAGGAGGGGGAGGAGGGGGAGGAGGGGGAGGAGGGGGGAGGAGGAGGAGGAGGAGGAGAGGAGGAGGAGGAGGAGGAGGAGGAGGAGGAGGAGGAGGAGGAGGAGGAGGAGGAGGAGGAGGAGGAGGAGGAGGAGGAGGAGGAGGAGGAGGAGGAGGAGGAGGAGGAGGAGGAGGAGGAGGAGGAGGAGGAGGAGGAGGAGGAGGAGGAGGAGGAGGGAAGAGGAGAAGGAGGAGGAGGAAGAGGAGGAGGAGGAGGAGGAGAAGGACGAGGAGGAGGGCCCCCCCGCGCACGCCGGGGAGGAGGTGCGCCCAGCAGGGCGGGCCTCCCGAGGGCGGAGGGCCCTGGAACCCCCCTGTCGGGGCGGCGCTGGTCGCCACCCCCCGAGCGGCAGGGGCCCGCAGGATCGCCCGGCAGGAGGAGGAGGAGGAGGAGGAGGAGGAGGAGGAGGAGGAGGAGGAGAAGGAGAAGGAGGAGGAATAGGAGGAGGAGGAGGAGGAGGAGTAGGAGGAGGAGGAGGAGGAGGAGGGCGAGGAAGCAGGGGAGGTCGCCCGGGGGAACCCGACGAAACGCACGGGGCCTACACCGCGGCCGGCGCCCGCTTGAGCGCGCGCGCGAACACCCAACCGCAGATCGGGGGGGGGAAGTGCCACGGAGGGAGGGAGGAGATCCGCGACCAGTGCCTCTCAGGCAACCCGGCGCAGGGAGCCTGGAACACCTATGCTACATGGCGGAAGCAATGGGCTTTGTTCACGCGGGCGCGGAGGAGGGGGCCTACCTCGAGGACGAGGGCTTGTCCGTGGACTGCGCGGCGCAGCCCGCTCACTGCCAGGGACGGGCAGAAGGGACGATCTAGAACAAACTGATGGCCACCGGGCACTACCACATCGCTGCGGAGCACCCAGGTCCCCTGGAGCTGGCCCCTCGCCCGTGGCTCGCGCTGGGCGGGATCAAGCGCCTCAATGCTAAGCCGAATCGCCAGCGCACGGTCACCCCCGAGATGTTGACCTGGCTCCACAAGCGTCTCCAGACGGGGGCGCTGGGGGATGCAGCCCGTTGGGCTCTCGGTAGCCTTCTTCTTTGTGCTCTGGGCCTCAGAGTATCCAGGGGATCCGGGCAAGCCTTGAGCCACGAGCAGGGCCCTCGTTGGAAGGGGCACCACCACCCCGCGCGAGGGCCAGGCCCGCCTCACCTCCAAGGGCGCGGACGAGGTGGTGATCTTCATCAGGGGCAGCAAGACTGACTAATCCAGCTTCGGATGGTCGGGGCATTCGCACTTGGGGCCGACGTGCATCGTCGATGCTGTAGCGCAGGTGCAACTTCGGGTGGAGCCGATATCGGCTGGCTCTCCACGCGCACGCGCGGCAACGCTGTCCGCGGGGCGGCCTCCGCTGTGCCGTGTGCGAGCTCGCCGGCCAGGCTGCCGCTCTTGCCGTGCAGGGCGACGCGGCGGACTCGGAAGCGCGGCTTGCTGCCAGAGCAGGCGTTTTCTCGACAGAGCAGTTCCGGGAGGGCCAGTGTGACGCGGACGAGTTGTTCAAGCAGGCCGGAACCACTACGCCGCGGAGAGCGCCCGTTGCCATGCTCGAGCACGGGAGGAGCTCGAAGGGCTGGCCCCCCAGCGGGGGGCCTCAGAGGGGCACCCGTCCCGTTGCTGCGGGAGGAGAGCCGGGGCCCGAGCCGCCGTCGGGACTCAAACGACCTGCTGGAAATGGCGGAAGTTGCCGCGGGAGCCACCCCTTCCACAGTGGGAGCCGCTCGCGCAGGATCGGGAGTGCCACCGCAGTGTACCACGCGGTCCTGGACACCGAGGGGCTCGAGAGACTCGGAGGGCGGAACATGAGCGCCTTCCACGTCTGCCTCAGGGAGGCACATGAGCCTCAGAAGGGTCCGGGGGAGGCCAGGGTCCGCGCAGAAGTTCCAGCTCACCATCGGAAGCACGATCG